CCACTCTGTCACCCAGGCTGGGGTTCAGTGGCTTGATCTTGGCTCACTGCAACCTCCGTCTCCTGGGTTCAAGCAATTCTCCTGCCTCAGCCACCATGCCCAGCTAATTTTTGTAGTTTTAGTAGCGACAGGGTTTTGCTATGTTGGCCAGACTGGTCTCAAACTCTGACCTCAAGTGATCCTCCCACCTCAGCCTCCCAAAGTGTTGGGATTACAGGTGTGAGCCACTGAGCCTGGCCTGGGGATTACATTTCAACATGAGATTTGGGTGGGGACACAGATCCAAATCATATCAGTGTTTTTGTTTTGTTTTGTTTTGTTTTGAGACAGGGTCTTGCTCTATCACCCAGTCTGGAGTTCAGTAGTGCAATCCTGGCTCACTGCAGCCTGGACTTCCTGGGCTCAAAGGATCTTCCCGCTTCAACCTCCTAAGTAGCGAGTACTACAGGCATGTGGCACCATGCCTGGCGAATGTTAACCCCTTTTTTTTTTTTTTTGTAGAAACAGGGTCTCACTATGTTGCCCAGGTTGGTCTCAAACTCCTGCCCTCGAGTGATACTCCTGCCTCAGTTTCCCAAAGCACTACGATTACAGGTTTGAGCTGCCATGATCAGCTAGGCATGTGCTTTCTTTAGCTAAATCCTTAGTGTTTGGGGTTGAGTCAATCTAGTGAGGAGTTGAGCTGGATTTGTTGAATTGAGTTGGTGGCTTGTATGAAGATTTTTCTCAATAACTGCTTGAGCTTCAGCTTTAAGTCTTTTCTTTGCACCTATGCCTTAGAGAAGGCCCTCTCCACACATTCCCCCGCCCGTTTTACAGAAGTAAATGCCTGTTACTTTCTACTCAACTCTTGCTACCCTGGTGTGGAGGAGAGTGCTTTCTGTTTTACAGGCTCCTCCTCAATCTTACACAGGTATTGTGTCCCTGGGTCTTGAAGGTGGGGCATTATCTTGTGTCCCTGGGTCTTGAAGGTGGGGCATTATCATCAGCAATCTTCCCTCCGTCAGCAATATGAAATCTCTAATGGCCTTTGTCCAGGGCAGTTTTCTGCCTCTCGTTCAGAGGTAGAAAATTTTTTTTCTGTTCACTTCTCTCAGCAATGAATCTTCACCTGTGGCCTGAGGGTGGCAAGTTTTTTCCCCTCTCCCAGTGATCTAAGGCAGTTTGGCAGGGGAGATAGATGAGAACAATCCAGGTAGAGCTCTGTGTCTTTCCTGCAGTGATAGCTGCTCAGCTTTCCCAGGCCTGCACCATGAGGGGAACCTATTTTGCCATGATCTTTCTTTTTTTTTTTTCCAACTTCCATTGCCTCTGGCCCAAGTCAGTAGCAAACTTTATTACTTATAAAGATTTGAAAACATTTCAATTGTATTTATAACACAAATTTTAGGCAACACACTCCTATGAATGTGATGCTTTTAATGGTTAATACCTATCCAAGTAAAAAAAATTATGCTTTCATGTAGAAAGAACTTTAGCCTGGGCAACAAACATAGTGAGACTCCATCTCTGCTAAAAAAAAAAAAAAAAAAAATTAAAAAAGTGTATCCATCAAACTATATGTGATAAGGCAAAAAACAAACAATGGGGCCCAAGTCAGTTAATTGAGGGGAGGTACCTGCTAGGTTAAATCTCTTCCTCTTGGCAATTGCGTTATGTCAATATTTGCATTTAAAAGAAATCTGGATCCCTTGGGAAAGTGACAGGAGTGCCACGGCCTGCACTTAGAAGATGAAGACATGGGTTTTTACATCTTCTACAAGGAAAGAAAAAGGGAAGAGAGAGGGTGAGAGAAGACAGAGATGTGATCGCTGGCATCGTTTCACCTAAATGGAATACTAGGATCTGTGCCTATCATTATGCTTGGACTTAGCCCCAGAAGTGGCAATTATTTCAGGTAAAAACTGTTGGGGCGTGGTGGCTGGAGCCTGTATCCCAACACTTTGGGAGGCCAAGGTGGGAAGATTACTTGAGGCCAGGGGTTCAAAACCACCCTGGGCAACATAGTGAGAATCCTGGGTCTACCAAATAAAAATTTAAAAATTAGCTGGACATGGTGGCACACACCTATAGTCCCAGCTTCTCAGGAGGCTGAGGCGGGAGGACCACTTGAGCCCAGGAGTTTCAGGCTGCAGTAAGCTGTGATCTCACCACTGAACTCCAGCCTGGATGACAAAGCGAGATCCTGTCTCTAAAATAAATACATACGTATGTACACAGATAAGGCAAAAATGAAAAAAAGATATAAGATATATATCCTTTTGTAATCTTATATATTTTTGCATACATTCTATCTTATATGTATATCATATATATAAGATTTACATGTATATATGTATGTAAAAATATACAAAAAGATATAAGATATATGTATAAGACAGAATGAGCAAGAGACACTTCACAGTCATATTGACATATAGAACAATAGCTTGAAAATATCTGTAAGCAGGTTTACTTTCAACACTGGTGCCTTATTTTCCTGAATTAATATAAGATCTTACAACAGTGCTCCACAATTGCGAAGTCATGTAATATTTTTCCAAGTTCCTTCTTCTGTATTAAATTACTTAATTTTCATGATAATCTTATGAGATAGTGTAGCAGGATGAGCCGCAGACAAAACCTCTCAGACACCGAGTTGTAGAAGGAATGGCTTTATTCAGCTGGGAGCATCGGCGAACTACTGCCTTAAAATCCAAGCTCCCCGAGTGCACAATTTCTGTCCCTTTTAAGGGCTCACAACACTGACGATTTCATATGAAAGGGCTGTGATTGATTTGAGCAAGCAGGGGGTATGTGACAGGGGTTTCATGCACCGGTGGTCAGAGAGAAACAGAACAGGGCAGGGAGTTTCACAATGTTCTTCTATACAATGTCAGGAACGTTGGTTTCTAAGTCATGAGTTGATTTTTAACTACCGGGTTTAGGCCAGGCAGACCCAGGCCTGGTTCCGGGCCTGGCGCTGGGCTGCCTGTCTTTGGCTTTATTTCATTGTTTTTTCTTAAAACAGGTACTGAGTATAAAACAATAGAAAACAATATGAGAGGGTCTCTCTCTTTCCTCAATAGGATTAGGCAGGGTGGGAAAGACTGAAGAGGCCCAGAGAGGTAAAGTGAGTTGCTCTAGACCCAGAATACAACACACATCTACTCTGTGAGGGACTGTGTGTACGTGTGCACCCACATACACACGCAGAACAGGGGAAATAGAAATGTGTCCTTATTTTGGTGATTGGAATCCGCATCTACATACCAAATAATCTAAGCCAGAATCTGTGGTGGTGATGTTGTTTTCACATATTTGACAAATATTTATTGATTGCCTAATAATACTGTGGTGGGCCTTGAGCCTGGGGATACAGTGAAGAACAAAATAGAGAACCTGGCCAGGAGCAGTGGCTCACACCAGTAATCCCAGTACTTGGGAAGCAGGAGGATGGCTTGAGCCCAGGAGTTTGAGACCAGACTGGGCAACATATTGAGATGCCCATCCCCACAGAAATTAAAAAAAGACTTAGCCAGGTGCGGTGGTACATGCCTGTGGTCCCAGCTACTCCAGAGGCTGAGATGGGAGGATCACCTGAGCCTAGAAGTTAGAGGCTGCAATAAGCCATGATAGTGCCGTTGCACTCTAGTCTGGGTGACAGAGCAAGACCTTGTCTAAGGAAAAAAAAAAAAGACAGAGAGCTTGTGCTTGAGGAGATCACGGTCTAGCAGGAGATGGTATGTGCTCTATAGGGTTCAGCAACAACATGGTACAATCAGAGTGCAGGGAGGGGTCCTAAGTTTTATCTAGAGGGAGTCATAGAAAGCTTTCTTTCTTTCTTCCTTTCTTTCCAGGCCAGAATAAGTGTTACCAGCTCTGCAAAGCCTTTCTCTCTTTCTCTCCCTCTACCCTCTACTCCTCCTCCTCTTTTTATTTTAGACTGAGATGGAGTCTCGCTCATCCAGGCTGGAGTGCAGTGGGATGATCATGGCTCACTGCAACCTCTGCCTCCTGGGCTCAAATGATTCTCCTGCCTCAGCCTCCTGAGTAGCTAAGATTACAAGCCTGCACCACCATGCCCAGATCATTTTTGTATTTTTAGTAGAACTGGAGTTTCGCCGTATTGGCCAGGCTGGTCTCAAACTCCTGACCTCAAATGATCCGCCCGCCTTGGCCTTCCGGTGTGCTGGGATTACAGGCGTGAGACACCGCGCTCGGCCTGCAAAGCCTTTCTTGACATATCTGTCTTTCCTTACTGGTCTGTTCGTTTTTTGATGGCAGAGACCCTGTCTCACTCATTTTTGTGTCCTCAGCATGGAAAACGGTGGCTGGCTAATAGTGGTTACTCAATAAATATTTGTTGAATGGATTAATAAAAGAATTCCTAGCAGTCATTTGGCATCGAATCACGTACAGTCGTGCTTTCTATTGTTTTCTAGGGCATGTCTTTCCAATACAAAATGATGGTAAATTTTCTGGGTACAGAGACGGCTCTTACTTTATTTTACAGGCTACCCAGTGCCTAGTCCCGTGGTGGATAATGCTCCCAGGGATGCACCTGTTATAAGTTCTTGCAGAATTCTTTTGTTTTGTGTTGTTTTCAGACAGCGTCTCACTCTGTCGCCCAGGCTGGAGTGCAGTGGCGCAATCACAGCTCACTGCAAACTCCATCTCCAGAGGCTCAAGGGATCCTTCCACCTCCACCTCCCGAGTAACTGGGATCACAGGCGTGTGCCACCATGCCCAGTTAATTTTTGTATTTGTTGTAGAGATGGGGTTTTGCCATGTTGCCCTGGCTGGTCTCAAACTCCTGGGCTCAAGCGATCCGCCAGTCTCGGCCTCCCGAAGTGCTGGGATTAGGGGCGGGCGCCACCTCTGCAGAAGTCTTAGGCCTGCAAAACAGTCTGAAAAAGATATAATATTTAACTTGAGAGGTGCAGTCCTCCTCTACAGTGCGGGCAGGCTCAGTGAAGGAGGGCCTAAGAAATAAAACTAACCAATGGCAGCAAAGCCCCCATGCCCCACCCAAGCTGCCCCTCGTTCCTGGCAGCCGAGCTTTTCTTTCAGTCGTTCACTGCGGAGCCAGAGGGAATCAATTCCACAAGCTGGGGTAAGCAAAGGTGTTGGGGGAGGGCAGGTGCCTAGTTTCCAGATTTTTAAAGAGATCATATTTAAACTAAATGCAGGTAGTTCTGTGCCTCGTCAGGAAGGCCCTAATTTACACACTATAAGTTGGTTATGTGTGTTTAATGAAATCATACTTCACGTGCTTGAAGAGATCACGTTTTTAAAAGCAAATCCATGGGGAAGGGAACTTTCTGCAAAGTAAAGAAATATCTCAGAATGAACTTATATTCTAATTGTGCATGTCCATATACTAAATTTGCTTATTCTGAGGCCCAAATGTTTGCTTATTTTGTTTAAAAACTTTACTTGGGATCATTAACATTCATACTAATTATTTTAAATGTAAGTTTCATTAATTTCACTGATAAGGAGTTCTCTCTGGGGCATAAAACATAATTCTTATGCTGCATCATAGTCAGGAATTTGAAGGCTTGTTAATCTTTGTCTGTTCAGCAGTACTTTAGGGTCTGAGTCTTCCCAACTGTCTTCCTCCCCGTTTCCTTCTTACTCAGCAAGCTTAGCGGGGCCTCCCCCGGGCTAAAAGGAGTAGTTACCCTATGACTCTTCCTTTGAGGGTCCAAGTAGGAACCTTTAGAGCCCAGATCCTGGGGCCCTGGGCTGTCCACTGATTCATTTCAATTCCACTGCCTTTCATTTCTCTTCTCCTATCTTATTGCCCCTTCTTTAGCTATTCACAAGAGGAAATAGGATTTTATTTTTCATTATGTATTACATAAAAATGACACATCCAATCTTCTCAATTCTCAGTTCTTAAAGAAATCAATTAAGCCTTCAAAGACTTTTAGTTTTGCATTTTCCATGGGTAACGGGTCCTAAAAATTCTCCCCATCCCCACAGGACAGAATGACCAATCTTTCAGGCTTGACCCCGAATTTGTTTTTCAGTTGAGGAGAACAAGAGATGGAGAAAGCAAGTGGAAGACAGTCCATTGCCCTGTCCACAGTGGAAACTGGCACAGAGAACCCGGGGCTGGAGCTCATGGTAATTCACCAGTTTAGTTTCTCTCTGCAGAGCTGTGGACGGCTGCATGGCCTCCTGTAGGGTGTCTGACTGCTCTCAATCCCCATCATCCCTGGCAGGGCTCCGTGACTGACTCCAACACTCCCTGTGCTTGTAGGAAAAAGAAGTAGAGCCTGAGGGAAGCAACAGGACTGACACACAAGGACACAGCCTGGGGGATGGACTGGGCCCTTCCACTCACCAGAGGTACTGGTGTTTTGGAATCTTGTTCAGTTAGGAAAGGGCCTAGGGAGGGTTACCCCTTCGAGCAGCTTGTGGTCTTATCACAACCGCTCCACCTTAGCATGTGTACATATATATATGTACCTTATGTAATTAATTGTTACTTAATCCTGTGCCAAAAACAATAGGAGTTCAGCAGTATCAGTGTTGATTGGACTGAAGACAAAAATAACAACAATGGTAATAATAATGGCTAACAGATTTTGAGTGTATACTTACTATTTTGCAGATTGCTTTATGTTATACATTTATTTTCATAACAACATGTAGATATTCATTTTAATCCCTTTAGAAATTAATTTATTGTATCATTAAAAAAAGGTAACTCTTCTGGAATACTCAGATTTGGGAATGGTGGAGGGGAAGGGAAACCTGGGGAGAAAACACAGAAGGACCTATTATAAGGATAATAAAGAAAGTAAAAAAGGACAATGTCTTAGAAGTCCAAAGAGGAGTCTCAAGAATGAAGAAGGTATGTGAATAGGGGTGTTCACAGTGCTATGTGAACAGCGGCGTAGGAAGGAGGAATGAGAAAAATCTTTGAATTTGTTCATGGATCTGGTCCCAGAAGTAATGTCAAAGAAAATTGTCTGAGTAAAATAGATAATATGGAAGGAAGCAATGTTCCATGGTCTGGAAAAGAGTGGGTCTTTATAAAAGAGTGCAGAAGTCGTACACTAAAAGCTGAGAAGAGGATATTGGATAGCTTCTAAAGGGAATACGGCCATGAGCCGCGTAACGATGTTTCAGTCAATGATGGACTGCGTTGTACAACGGTGTACAATGGTGTGTATCAATGGTGTATATCATTACACAATGGTGGTCCCATAAAATTATAATACTGTATTTTTACTGTACCTTTTCTATGTTTAGATATGTTTAGATACACACATACTTACCATTGTGCTACAATTGCCTACAGTATTAAGTACAGAAACATGCTGAACAGATTTGCAGCCTAAAAGTAATAGGATCCACCATATAGCCTGGATGTGTCATAAGCTATACCATCTAGGTTTGCATAAGTACACTCTAAGATGTTCGCATAATTATGAAATTGCCTAATGGTGCATTTATCAGAATGTATCCCTGTTGTTAAGTAACACAGGACTATACATGGAGATGATTCAGAACAGCTTCCAAACAAAAGGTTATTTTGTTGTTTTTTTCTCTTTATTTTTGAAAGCTACCTCAGTGACTTCTTACAATTTTTGTTTTCTTCACAATTTACTTCTTTCTAAAAATTTTTGTATTATGTTTTATATATACTGAATTAACAGTAAACTCTTTGTAAGTTTTTCATGCTTACATGATATTTCATATTTTGCTTAGCAGTGTGGTCGTTAATCACGTGAGTCACACTGCTTGGGTCTGTATTTGAACAGTGGTATGCTGGTAAATGTTTAAGAACTGACTCTCCACCGGGCTAGTAGCTCATGCCTGTAATCCCAGCACTTTGGGAGGCTGAGGTGAGAGGATCACTTGAGCCCAGGAATTCAAGACCAGCCTGAGCAACATAGTGAGACCCACCTCTACAAAAATTTTTAAAAATTAGCAGGGCGTGGTGGTGTGTGCCTGTAGTCCCAGCTACTCCAGGAGGCTGAGATGGGAGGATCACTTGAGCCCAGGAGGTTAAGGCTGCAGTGAGCCATGATTGTGCCACGGTACTCCAGCCTAGGGGAAAGAGTGAGACCCTGTCTCGAAAAAAAAGAAAAAGAAAAAGAACCGCCTCTCCGAGTGTAGTTTTGCAATGAATGTTGGTTAATATTTTTGCTCACCTTAATGAGGAGTAAGACCAGGGGTTGGCAAACTTTTCCTGTAAAAGACAAGGTAGTAAATATTATGGGTTTCGTGGTTGATGTGGTCTCTGTTGCAATTACTAAACTCTACCATTTTCGTAGGAAAGCAGTCACAGGTGATACTAAACAAATGAGCATGGCTGTGTTTTGATAAAACTTAATTTTTAAAAAGAAGGTGAGATAAACTTGGCCCACAGACCACAGCTTGCTAATCTTTAGTCTAGATGAAATAATAAATTAAGACTTCATTTACAGTATTTGCCTGTAAGGTAAAAACTCTCAACATGGCTGATTTCAAGTAACCAAAGGGATATCATTGAACAAGGAGTTGGGAAGAGATGTATCAGAGCACATCATTATACAAAATTTCCACCATACACATACAGCAGTCATGAATAACTTCCTGAGCTCACATAACAGAAAAATGTAGTAAAATAATTAGAAAATTATGAGTTTTTAGTATTTATTACCTTTGTCTTTAATGTAATTTAATTACACGTTTATATAGTTTTAATTTTTAGTAATGGCTTGCACAATTCCTGAAAATGTGGCAATCACCTCTCTCAAGCCAGTGCAGGCCAGCTTCCCCTACAGACTCTACCATTTACCAGATTTTGGGCAAGTTATTTACCCTCTCTAAGCCTCAGTGTTCACCCTGTAAAACAAGAATAATAGTAGCACTTAGCTGAAAAGATCTTTTTTTTTTTTTTTTTTTTTTTTTTGCCAGACTGTTATTGGCACCTTAAACTGCTCTGATATATAACGTGTCCCGTTCCCTTCAATTCTCATCGACTTTATATTTTCTCATATAAACAATGTTAACTAAAATTACATAGATATAAAATCATGCCTTAAGGTTCCTAACTTGCATTTATTTTTATTTTTTGAGAAATGAGGTCTTACTTTGTTACCCAGGCTGGTCTTGAATTCCTGGGCCCAAACAATCTGCCGGTCTCAGCCTCCCAAAGTGCTGAGACTACAGGTATGAGCCATGTGCCTGACCTTCACTTGCATTTCTTTAAATTTCTGTAAAGCTACACATTTTCCTCCATTTGCCTTACTTTCCATATTTCTGTGTGTGATTTTCTTTTCTTTTTCTTTTTTTTTTTTTGGAGATAGTCTCACTCTGCCACATAGGCTGGAGTGCAGTGGTGTGATCACTGCAACCTCCACCTCCTGGGTTCAAGCGATTCTCCTGTCTCAGCCTCCCACATAGCTGGGATTACAGGTACATTCTGCCATACCCAGCTAACTTTTTTTTTGTATTTTTAGTAGAGACGGTGTCTCACCATGTTGGCCAGGCTGGTCTTGAACTCCTGACCTCAGGGGATCTGCCCACCTTGGCCTCCCAAAGTGCTGGGATAACAGGTGTGAACCATGAACCACCGTGGCTGGCCTACTTTTCTTTATCAACTAAAGTAAGTTCTGGATTTTGAACCTCATTTCCTTTCTCCCGACCAACTCAAATAGAACCCACATAGATTTCTTGTTTCCAGTTCTCCCCATCTCCTGCCAACCTGTCCTATATAGCTTCTACCAAAACTGCCTAAAGTATGCCTGAACTCCCTTATTCACAAATCTCTGTGGCCCCCCAGTTGCTCCTGAACAAAGCCAAACTCCATAGCCTGGTATTCAATTCTCCCCACAACCACTGCCCCCCAACCAGGATCTATATCCAAATTGACTTTCCAACATTAACTCTTGCAATTCCCTTTCTAATGCCACCCTATGTTCTAGTGAAAGTCAACTATCAACCGTTCCTTATATGTAATCCTCAATTTCCTGCCTCCATGTCATGCATGTCATTTCATCGTTGCTTCCTAGCATACTGTCTTCCTTTTACGTCTTTGAGCCCAAATACAACACATCTTTTAAGGCTCAACTCAAGAGCAATCATGTCCATGAAACTTTCCCTGATGCTGCCTCTCCTCACCTCAGTCTCACTGGCCCCAGTCCTAAGAGGTCCCTTCTTCCTCCAAACTTTTAACATTCTATCTGAACCTCTCTTATAACACTTTAAGCTTTTGACATTTTGTTATAGACTTACATGTACATTATATTCCCTATACTGGCCTGTAAACACATTGAGGGCAAGATAAATGTCTATTTCATCCTTTTGTCTCCTGTAACAACGAGAACAATGCTTCACCCATAGTTTATACTTAAAATTCCATAACATCCAAAATTCAATAAATATATGTTAGTAAGTTATGTATATAATCTAGATAATAGACTTTATTTGTAATTTTTTCATGTATACATTTTTCAATTCTGTTTTGTTTCTGTATTGATTTTTAAGTTTTTATTTCTTTTTCTTTTTATTCTTTTGTTTGATTGACTCTGATGATCTGGGATTCTTTGTAGGGAGTAATCTGACATGTAGCTCTAAGCTGATGCTTTTCCATATTGATACCCACTTTTCCAGCAATAGTTATTAAATTGTGAGTTCTTTCTCTATTCTGATGTTACTTTGACTTCATTAAGTTCATGTGATAATTTGTATCTGTTTTTAAATCTTTTGTTCCATTGACACAGTTCCGAGTACTTAACACTCAGAACTGTGTCATTGTTTACAATGTACATTAAAACTTGACGGGTCACGTATTTGCCTTAGTTTACCTTTCCTGGCTAACACGGTGAAACACCGTCTCTACTAAAAATACAAAAAACTAGCCGGGCAAGGTGGCGGGCGTCTGTAGTCCCAGCTACTCGGAGGCTGAGGCAGGAGAATGGCGTGAACCCGGGAGGCGGAGCTTGCAGTGAGCTGAGATCCGGCCACTGCACTCCAGCCCGGGCGACAGAGCGAGACTCCGTCTCAAAAAAAAAAAAAAAAAAAAAAAAAAAAAAAAAAAATATTCCTTGGGGCTGGGCACGGTGGCTTATGCCTGTAATCCCAGCATTTCGGGAGACCGAGGCAGGCGGATCACTTGAGGTCAGAAG